TTTATTGAAAATCTCTTCTTTTTGAAAATGGCACAGGCAGCTTCTTAGTTACTTAGTTACTGTGTTAAAAAGTTCAGTGGAGCCAGGGTATCTTTTTGCAACATATTTTTTTCATGTCCCAGTTACAATGGGATTGCAACTTTCAAGAAAAAAATAACCAAAACAAACTATTGTGCAGCAACCAGACTAGCCTCATTATCTGGACAGATCTTAGTTCAACTGTTTTAGATTACATTACTGCTGAAATCTTTGTCATTGCTTGGCTCATCTTATCCACCTTTAACTGCCTATAATTCTGGTTTAGTGGGAACCTGTTTCTGGTAGTCTTCTTAAGATAGTGGCTTCAAAATGCATTCAGTAAGAAAACAAACTGCAAGTATGATGACTATATGTATGACAGTGTGAGACTAAGTTCTCACTACCAGTTCTGACTGTGAATAGTAGCTCTATGCCACTAGGATTCCTGCTGATATTAAAGAGCTTCCTGTAGAAGTCAGGTATTGCAGAGAGAAGCAAGAGCTGATCCTTAAAAAATCAGTTCTGAAAGACTCAAACAAAAGAAGCTATAAGGTGAAATGATTTAGTCTTTAACTGTAGCAGTTTCAGAAGTCAAACCAACCTGTGGGAGCACCAAGAACAGTAAGTTGCATAACTAGCTCACTGCTAGTATTTTGTACGGAAGCTTCCAGCCTCTCTTCTCACAGTATCTTAGACAGATGTTGAACCTGTCTCACTTGCAAAAGTAAGTAGACTTAATATCCAAAATAAATATCCAAATATACAAAAAAGTACAGTAATGCAAATTGTTTCCTCCACTGATTGGATCCGTACTCCTGTTTTGCAAGTTGCTCAAAATCAAGGTTGTATCAGTGAAAAAACTAGATGTTTAATGATGCCAGGAAGCAATTTTATGTTTTGGCACTAGTCAATATGCAACAGAATGTAAACAGACGTTCTATTCATAAAAATACAATGAAATCAGAAGACATAAAAAAGCCTGGTTAAAGATTTGTCAAGCCAGACGTCACTGGTAAGCTTTTAAGTAATGTGAGAACAAGCCCTTTACGTTACATGTTAGTGCAAACTGAAAATATTTTTCAGTAGGTTCAAACAACTTTCCCTCCCCCCTCCATTTTAAAGTCCTAGCATGATTAAAAGTTATACTTGAAGCTCTTGAAGTTATATCATAGGAACAGAATGGAAAATATATATAAGGACTCAGACAGAAGAACTGCTGCAGTTGAAGGCATTACTGAAGGTTTCTCCTGTTACTGACTGTAAGAGGGGAAGCTTGATCAGAATTGCTGTTAGGCTTAACCTGTTTGCATTTAATTCTGATGACACTGGTCTGGTCATTGTAGTATTGTTTGGAAAATGTATTTTTTCAGAACTGAGTCTGTATAAATGTAAGGACAGAAGGCAGATTTTTATGCTGATCCTGTACAAAACCTGAAAGGAAATACAGAAAAATCCTTTTTCATGGATTTTGGAAGTTACTGACTGTTCATATAGAACTGCACTATAGTGTTTCTAGCAGAAGTGATCTTTTGTTTTAGAACTCAGATTTTTAAGTGTAATGACAATTACCGAAACGTATTTCAGGGAGTGTCGTAAGATGGTCTTCGAACGTGATGGTACTCAGTGCCTGCATTAGGTTTGAACAATAAAGACAGAAAAGTGTTATCATGACCATCAAAAGATACAGTAAATCCCCTATAAGGAATACAACAATAGACTGTTATCAAGCGCATTAGTTTCTGTACTGAACAGATCAGAATCACACACTATGAATGCTAATTTAAGGCTCTTTAACATATAAATGCAGGCAGTGCATTAGGGAATACTTAATAAAAAAAAAAACACTAAAAGCTACACTGTATGGAATATTACCACATATTTTTTTGTTGCATGCAATGTGATAATGTGAATATGAATTTAACTCTTATTAAGTAGGGAGATCAGCTTCTCAAGGTAAAAGCCAGTTTCTCACACCATAAAGTCAGAATGTCGTATACTGTTATCCTGCTGTATACTGTCTTGCTGTTTATCATTTGTAGAGTGCCTATTTCTGCAACAAATTACAGTGGTTTAATGGCACAGAACATTTTCTTATTGCACAGCTGGGAGCCAAGAACAGTTCTGTAATACCCTCACCGTGGATTTTTTTCCTGACCAGTTGAGTTTCACTGGTGCTGGAACTGAACATACTGTGTTTATTTTTCTACACTCAGAAGCATCACTGGAATCCACCTTCCCTGTTAGAACCATCCAAGGCAGGGTGAAACCTGGGTGAAGGACAGTGATCCATCAGTCAACAATGCATCCTTTTGTGAGGAGCTGATAAGTAGTGGTACCACTCAAGGCAGAATTTTTCCCTGCTTCCATTTCATTATTACAAGAAGACAAATGCATTAGATCAGATTGATTTTTGTGTTATGTGGGTATTCTCAGTATTGCCAGTAACAAAAGCCTGACAGTTCATGAGAGAAGGCTGAAGATTAAACATCTGTGTCTGTGTGTACATATACATGTATCCATATGTGCTCTTACGTATAAAATCATACATGGGAACTTTCTTTGAATATGAGCCTTGGGGCTTTTTCTTATTGTAATTATAGCTTGACCAGTCTACACTTGGTTGTATCTCTGAAGCTAGCCTAACTTGAATGAGGGAAGTTGTGCTTCAAAGCAGTGGTATTTAGATAATCAGCAGAGAAGTTCAGTCTTGTCGCATTACCAGCTCCAGAGCTGGCTCCATGTTTGTACCCTGGCTTCAAGCCACACATTGCTTGCAGGCCAGCTAAAACCAAGAAACCAAATTTTTCTTGGGAAATCTTCCTTCATGTACTACTGCAGATTTCTCCTGCTGGAGGAAATAGTCAGAGAAGGGAAAGATTGCTGTTGTCAGAGAAATTATTAGTGTTCATCCAGTTTGCCCATTCTTAGGTTAAAAAATGAAAACTGAGAAAGAAGTGAAAAAGAAACATTAACTCTATGCAATTTTTTATGGTGTGGGTACACCAAGTTATGTTAAATAAAGAAGAAATATTTGAGAAGCCATGCCATGTTTTCATCCACACAAATACATGGAGAAAAGATGCAAGAGAATGCAGAAGATGAAAGGCTGTTACTAGTTACAACTGCAGATGGGTAAGGTTGCAGAGATGCTGGCAAAATACATGTAAAGGACTATAGGAGAGGAAAAAGTAATGGGCATGGAAAGAAGCTGTTGAAAATTAGATGGAGAGTAATGTGAAGGGAAGTAAAGAAGTAAGAGAAGGAGATCTGCAGAACTTCTAGTGGAAATGAACACGTGCAGAGACATCCTGTGAAGTGATTTTGACTGGAAGATGAGAAGATGGTGGCATTGGCGTAACATTATTCAGGATGATTCCATGGGCCTGTGGTGCTTTGCATGCCCACTGCACTTGCTCCTGGATTGGCTTTTCAGTTGGGAAAGGCTGACATTCATGTATAGGTGTAACAGCATAACCCTCATAATAGAAATGTCAGGAAGTGTGCTCAGTTCCATGCACTCACATTGTTTCAGTTTAAGTTGTTAGGTGCTGTGTTTATACCTGTGTTTATACCTGCACCTAGAAGATCAGAGGTGCTGCACAAGGTGGCTCTGTGGGCCTAGTAAAATTATTAGTAAGCAGTGAAAACTGCTCTTTTTACCTCTGCCCTCACTAACCCTGGAAAGTAAGTAGAGATTTCTCCAGGTGTACCAAGGACAGATCTCTCAAAGTGAAGTGTACTGCTTTTACAGTCACTTTTCTGATTATAATGGCAGTGTTTTCTTAAATTACTTGAAGATGAAAGCAGTAATTGCCTAAAGAAACCTAAAGAGAATAGTACTGAACCATTCTTTTCCAAATCAGTAAATATTCCAGAAGGTGCATTATTTGTTTGATTTTTTTTTGACATTTAGAGTGCTTTTACTCATTCAAGCATTTGAAACAGAAAATTGACAGTGTATTTTCAAAAGAAAAAAAAAGTCAACTGTGTTCATTCAGAAAAGAGAGCAGAGAAAACACAGTAAGAAATTCATAGTGCATCATCTCACATTAAAGCAAATAAGAAAGTAATACTGTTGGAGCAGAAATGTGCACCAAGTATAGATCTAAATATTTATGTTGGTAAATTATTCTCATTCCTACCTGGAAGGACTGTGATGTCATGCAATCCCAAATTTAGTCAGGTCAGCTTATGCAGTGATTATTGACATAAGACTTACACAGAAACCTGGCTTTCTCAGTTCCCTTTTTATAATATTATCTAGTTACATTGCTAAGTCTTGATTATCAGCTATTGTTCACTGCAGTACTCCAATTTGTGCCTGAATTTCATGGTAGGGTAACTATATCATATACATTTATCTTAGAATGAGCAAACAATACAAACCAAATAAGAGATAGTTTCTTTAACATAGGTTTCTAGATACATGATTCAGCATTCATACAAAAAAACCCCAACCACTGAAGAGCTCAGCTGTTTTGCCCAGTTCCTACTTTTGTGGGAAATAATAGTAAACTCCTCATCTGCCTCAGACATGGTGATTTGGTAATGGAGGTGGTAAAGCCACTATCAGCAGGGTAAGAGTTAAGTAAAAATCTGTTTAACAGAAATGTTTTTGCAAGGGCAGGACTGTTCTATGGTGCAATTAGCCCCACTGATACCGTCCTTAGTTAAATACTAATGTAACAATTGAAGATACTGATAAAAGGCATTTGATTTTAGACATTTTCCGAATCGTTATATTGCCTGATAGTTTTCATGCACACATGAAAATTTTGCTTTTTCACATCTCTTCAAGATTTTTTGCTCCTCTCCCATAATTTCAGCTCTCATTAGATCGTGTGATTGCATTTCAGTGTACTTTGGGCTGTGTATTATAGTTCTGGGACTCTTGATAACGTTGTTACCTGGTGTGTAAGCCTGTCTGTAGTTACTTATTAATCTTCTTATTACACTGATTATGATATTGTGATTTTTTTCAGTGTACCTTGAGGATAGTTTTGTAAAATCTGGAGTCTTCAACGTGTCAGAACTTGTGAGGGTGTCCAGAAGTAAGTTATCATTTTCATGTAATCATTTACAAAGCCTGCTGTAATCAAGAAAAGTTATTTGTTTGTTTTGTTTTGTTTTGTTTTTTTTCTGGAAGTTTGTTTTTCTTCCCAAGATTTGAGATGCATAGAAAATGTCTATAACCATGCAGATTCATATCTTTGACCACAGTATCACAGTTCATCTCCCGCATGTTTTTAATAAAATAAACAGAAATCTTCTGTTGTCTTTTCAATATTTAAAGATCGAATCAATTTGTTATGTGTCCCACTGCACAGCTTAATGGACTAGTATGTCAGTAAAATTGCCATAAGTAATAAAGCCTATTTGTCCGACTTCCTGCTTTTTAAGGTTCTCTTACACATCCTTGGATTTTGCCAAGTTATCAGATAATTTTTTGAGTCTGTTTTTAAATTTGTAGCTCTTAAAAAGAAAAATCACAGCATGGATATAAAGGATGGCTGGCTTAATTTATAATACGCTAGCGTTTCTTTTACTTGTAGTACTGGCTGTAATTGAGTTTTTAATTACATTTGCTTGTTTTGGCATCAGAAGTGTTATGCACATAAACATAAAAAAATAAAAAAAGGTAAAATACAAAAATAAAAGGTCAAGTGAAGCTTTTATTGCAGAAAGAAAACCCAGAATGCATGTGAATAAGATCTGTTTTGTTGACACCTAAGAATTTGCTGTAATAGGACATAAAGCCAGCACGTATTTTCATTTGACACTGCTTTCTGAACACTTCTTTTCTCTGTATCAACACTATTAAAGTATTTCTCTTAAGACATCATTAGGAAGTGAAGTAAAACCCAGCCCCAAACTTAAAAATTATAGTTAGAAGTGTCTGCAGTGATGATACCAACATTATAACAACAGAAAGATCCAGGGAAAAGATCCCTTTTCTGATGAGGTGAGAAAAAAAACCAGTAAAGCACAAGTTTCCAAAACTGTCCAAATTTTGTACAGGAATTAATTCATGCCAGGTCAGGATGCTTGAAGAATTTAATTAACATAGTGAGGCTTAAGCTGAACGTGTGATTTAATTTGCTGTGATCAGAAATTAATATTCAACAACATTAAAATTATATTAAGTCCTTCAACAAAATTGCTGTCCTGCAGTGTTAGGACATATTCTGTTTTGTAATTGCTGAAGATACATCTTTTCTGCTGTAGGAGGCTGAGGATGTATGAAATACAGCTTTATTTTAGTTGTCAGGTGGTTAAATACATTTTAAAGTATCAGGACATTCAGATTAAAACAGAATCAATATTTTAGTTATGTTATGAAATTGTACCTTCTGCAGCTATTACACACAATATACTTGTAATAATAAGCTTTAAAGAACGTGGTTTCTGTGGGATTTCTCACCATGAATTTGTTTAACCTCAAGCCGCAACAGAGTTGTACTTTTAACTGTCAGGAAAAACACAAGCCTTCAGATACATTACACAACATGCAATTATTCTTTTAAGTGCCAAAGGTAGTTAAAATGCAGAATGCACAGACACTGAACAAAGGTAAATACTCCACAATGTGTAACATATAATTTATTCTTGAAATACCAAGGTGTACGGTACACAGACTTTGTAAGGAGGTGAAGATAACATTGAGTGTATGTGTTTGTATATAGAAATACATATGCAGGGCAGTACCTGTGGCACTGGGTGAAAGAAAAAAGGAGACAGCAAAACATATTGATAGCACAGAAGACTATTGTTAATATAAAAGAGTTAACATTAAGGGAAAATGAGTTTATGTGTCTCCAAGTTTGTTCTTTCTATTTGTTCAAGTTCTTTAATGAATATTAGCTATCCTTACAAACCCTGCCTCACAGATTACAAAACTGCTTCTACAGGAGGCTGGACTTTGTGCTGATGTTTGTGTTACCTTTTTTATATTGATGATTCCAGGTTACCTATTATGCAAAAAATATATTATGTCTGCATAACTATTAAGGGATTTCTAGGACTGGGGAAGATACTTCATTTTTTTAGATATATAAACATTGATAGAACTTGTGCGTACTTGGTTTCTGAAAGAGGCAGGAAATTAGATAAAAGTAGTAACATCTTTATGTTTTTCCCAGTGTTAAAAATGAAAAGATGGCTAAAAAGATAGAATAATGTATTTGACTTATTATGGTGATGTGTTTTTCAGCACCCATAACCCAGGGAACTGGAGTGAATTTCCCAATTGGAGAGCTTCCGAGCCAGCCATATTACCATGATATGAATTCGGGTGTAAATCTGCAGAGGTCCTTGTCCTCTCCACCAAGCAGGTAAAAATTTGAAATAAATCCTAAAGTGAATCCAGGTTTAATAGCCTAGGACAAGCAATTCACAAATACTGTCAACAACTAACTATTTTATGATTTTCCTCCGATTTTGTGAGTTAGGCTGCCTACGTATGTTACCATAATCTAAATACAAATATCTGTGTTTCAGATTTTGAAGCAGTGTCATTATTGCTTGTCATTGCTGTTGATATTGAAGTTGATAATATTTGTTAGGGTTTGAAGTGTTCACAGAATCATCTGCCAAGATAACAGCTATTCATCCTGAAACTGCTGCAGGAAGGTCGAGCAGCTGGGAACCTGCTGGCAGGGCTCAGTCACAGGGCAGTTGCACACACAAAGGCTGTCTTAGAGGGCTACCTCTTGGACCTCCATTTTGAAAGATATGTTGGGCAGATACTGCTTCCTATAGTAAAAGCATTAGAACATGTATATAAAGAAAAGATGTCTTCATCCATAGCATCACCCTAGCTCATGAAAGTATGTTTCCTGCCTCACCCTTACAAGGGGCATTTCCTAGCACAGTAGGTACAATGAGAAGCATGTGGGGTAGTCACAGGCCCTCTATTTTTTCTCAAGGGTCTCCATGTGCCTGTTACAGGCAGTTTGATCCAAGGAACCTCCTTCTTCCTTGCTTTGACATGCTTGCTTCTCCCATCTCTAAAAGAGGCAACATTCCCTCCCTCAGAAGCAGTTGGTGGGCCACAGAGATGGAGAACCTGCTGTGCCTTCCTTCTGACTCCCAAATCATGTACAGTCATGCCCCTAGGGCCCCTTGGTTTTCTGAAACCGTCCGATGTACCATGAAATCGTGAGCACTGTAGGACCTCACATTAACCCATGTTTCTCCAACCCAGTGAGTCAGGAAATATCTGCACAGTGGTATAGGGTCTAACAGTCTGCTAGGGACTAGGGTGTTTTTCTGCTAGTGTCTGGTGCTTCTGAGTTATTTTGCTCATATACCCTATTTCGTTCCACTATATTTTCAGCTTGGCATTTCACCTGCTACATTTTAGAAATGCATGAGTTAATTCTCACAGTGTTGTCCTAACAACAGTAATAACAGTAATACCACCACCACCATTAAAACCTTCACACTGGTTTTCTATGGCAGCCAGCATAACAGCTTCAGTATATATTGTTAAAAAGAAGCTTCCACTCCCTCCACGGCATTGAAGTGTCCACTGATTTTATATAGCGGACTTGAAATATGGGCCTTTTTTTCTTTCTTTTTTTTTTTTAATTAAAATATTCTGAAATGAAAAGTCTTTGAAAAGCTTAGAATTTTGACTGCTGAAATACAGTAAACTACATTTTTTTCTTATCAACATGTTCAGAAAAGTTCCTGGTTTGCCTTTATCAGTCATGGTTTTCCAGTGCTTTTGTGGTTTCTGCTAGTGTTCAACACTCTCATGACACAACCTTTCACTGGTACATTACAGGAACTGGTTTCTCATTTGTTCAGCCAAATGCTGGTAGACTTTTATGTTACCCATTCATGCCATCTTTGAAATATTAAATCATGTGGAAAATGCAAGCACATGCCTGCATTACATATTATTAAATAACATCATCTAAGTTAATGTAGGCTTTACTATCCACTTTCTTTGTGCTTTGCATATTTGAATTACTTTCTATTTTACTTTCTATTGAAATATTTCTTGTAATCAAAGCAGTCTATATTCCATTAGTAGCTGTGTATCATATTCATTGCCAAATCTCACATTACAGCAAAAGACCCAAAACTATCTCCATAGATGAAAATATGGAGCCAAGCCCGACAGGAGACTTTTATCCTTCTCCAAATTCACCAGCTGCGGGGAGTCGGACATGGCATGAAAGAGATCAAGGTGAGTAACATGGGACTATTTTGCCTCCAAGTATATTATTCAAATATACATCACTGCATCTGCGCTTTCATTACGACAATAAAATGATGGCATTTTAGAGAAATCATTTTTCTGTCTCAAATATGTATTTGCTGGTTTCATAAATGTAGTTATAACCAGCAGTCAACAGGACATGGTATAAACAACCACATAATAATTTTTCCATCTGGTCACTTATCAATAGTTTGAAAAGATGTGTGCAAGTGAGGTACTTGATACTGTGAATGCTGTGATGATCTCAGCAGGATTTTGAGTGCAGTGGTTTCAAGTAAAAAGCAAAATATCTATATGGTGGTTGGGTCAACATGCGTTTACTCAGTTCTTGTTTATCCATGACAGAATGCTGTATGTGCATTTAGTCCAGACATTGTGACACGGAAAGGTCCAATAGGCTCTTTTCTGAAGAGCCCACATGTAGCTCTGTGGGACTACATCCACATGCTAAAGGGTGTTGTTGTGGTTTGGATTATCAGAAGGTAGGAATATGTTTGTGTGGAGAATAGAGTTATGGCTGTCAAAACAGTAAAATTAATTCTCATAACTTTCCCTCATGTAATCTTAATGCTTTAAAAACCTAGATACCAGCATGGTCTTTTCCCTCACCTTTGTGATGTGAATATGCTTACATGTATTTGAGCACTGTTGGTTAATGGATCCTGTGGCTGACGTGCTGCAGCTATTTGGGGAGTCTGGGAAATGTACAGCAAAGTATGTAGAAGCGAAACAGAGAAAAAGACATGCCATTGCTTCCTTTGCTAATCATCCAGTGTTTGCACTCCTTTTCACTGTCCACTGCTCATCGTTGCTTTCAGTTCTTCAGTGACCAACTGACCCTTTGGCCTTAGCTCATATTTAGATTGGTTTAGTCCTTTTTTTCCTTCCTTTTTCTTTTGCCTGCTGATTTTTTTCTTTCGTTCATGTGTGCAAGGTAGCATGTGCTGGGTATTTAATTTAACTACCTTTTATTTTCAATTTTTTTTACGATTGGTCTCCTTTTAATCTTCTGCTTATGGTTGGCCTGTGTTCTCATCATTAGGCTATTCCTCTCACACAACGTTACTAGTCTTTCCTTCACTGTTTCTTTTGTGTTTTTGTTACGGAGGCCCTAATATTTTTTTGTTTCTGTCTGTTTGCATTGACTGTTGAATTTAAAATAAAAACCCAAACTTGCCTGTGGTTTTGCATACCCAAACTTACGGACAGCAAAATAGCAGTTCTAACAGCCAGAATCTTCCCGCTTGTGTGAAATATTTCACTCCATGACTCTTAACTGACACTTTATTAGGACTTTTCCTAAAAGACAGGCTTGTACCTCAATATTTGTGCTTTTCAAGTTAAGTATTTTTTGCAGCTGTGGGGAAAACAGCCCATAGTTCCTCTGTAAAGTGGTCACCACATGTCCCCACTTGTGAAATGAAGTCCCTTTGTTCTGAGTGAACTGTAGGAGCTGCAGAGCCCTGGCAGAGAGTTTATCTTTAAGACACTATGAGGGATCTCAGAGCTCATTTTTCTGTCCTTAAGATGTTCTTCCATTTCTGCAGAGGGACAGATAGACCATTGTATGGTCTGAAAACCATTACACTGGGGGAAGCATAAGCTTTACTTTGGCTGCATTCACTTTCTGAGGTTACCCTGCTGCTGTGGAAACACTGTGAGGTAGTGGGCGCAGTGCTTGTCCTTTATACCTGGCCTCACTGGGAAGGGGTATTTGGCAGCTCCTGGCATATTTGTTCTGCTGCTAGTTTGTTAGATACTTATCTTCATATTAGCATGTATCTGTGGAAAGCTTGTTTTGGATACAGAAGTCTTACCAAGATAGGGTATTTGTGAAAACCTATGTTCTGTTTCCCTATGCCTGCAAACACAAAGATAATAGAAATAAAAGTTTGGAGTTGGTTTTCTATGCCAGAGAACTCAGTGGTACTAATTCCCTCTCAAGCATGGAGATTTGTGTGTCATATTAGGTTAGGCATAAATGAAAAAAAAGAAACCATCTGGGTTCACATTTGTGCTCATCCAGTGTCACCAGGGGATGTTCATGTAGTCCCAGTAGCCACTATTTTTCCATGCAGTTTCCAAAGGTCATCAGCACCAGAAATATGAATCATTTCACAGTATCCACAAATGAGAATGTGCAGAGGTATCATGTTTATTGTTAAGTAAACACTCACTTTCACTTTCAATCTGATGCAATTTTAACTTTTCTAAGAGAAAGAAAATCAGAAATAGGATTAATATTAAGATATGTCAATATTGATTTCAGTTTCATTGTTTTGAACCTGACAGAACAAGACTAACTTCTGACCTGTACTAGATCTAGTTTCTTCATCTGCATACCTAAGTTTACTGTATTTTTATTCTTATTTTTTAATGTATTTTCATTGAAATAGAAATTTACATGGTTTTGAAAGATTCTGTTGTCATGAAGGCTTTTCGTGTCTTTATTTAGCTACATTTCTAAAGTAGCAAAAATGAGATGACAGTGGTAGTTTGGAACTGGTGATAGTCACAGTAAAACAATGATAGCTGAAACAGGTTGGAATAAAGTAGTTAAGAGTTTCATAGATGTCTAGGGGGCATTTCACCATTTTGATAGAATGAATTAGATAAAAATTACTGGGTAACACAGAATGGTTTTGGTTGGAAGTGTCCTTAAAAATCATTTAGATCCAACCCCACCGCAACAGGCAGGCACACCTTCCACTAGACAGATTGCTCCAAGCACTGGCCAACCCATCCTTGGACACTGCCAGGGGTGGGGCATCCACAGATTCTCTGGGCAACCTGTTCCAGTGCCTCACCACCCTCACAGTGAAGAACTTCTTCCTCATGTCTAGTCTAAATTTTCCTTCTTTCAGTTTAAAGCCATTCTCCCCCCTGTCCTATCACTACATGCCCTTGTAAAAAGTCCTTCTCCAGATTTCTCATCATCCCTCATTAGGCACTAGAAGCTGCTCTGAGGTCTCCCCTGAGCCTTCAGGCTGAGCAAGCCCAACTCTTTCAGCCTGCCTTCAGGCTTTCACAGGAGAGGTGTTCCATCCCTCTGAGCATCTTTGTGGTCCTCCTCTGGACTCACTCTAGCAGCTCCTTCTTATGTTTGGGACTCCAGAACTGAACACGGTATTCCAGGTGGTGTCTCACAAAAAACAGATTAAAAATGTGAGAAATAAAAATTTGCAGTGGGGTGGTACAGGTTAGATCAAACTTTCACTGCTGTGGAAAATAAATATCATGTAGTTTAGTAGGTAAACAGACATCAGGAAAGGAGTGATTTTCTATGAGTGACTCTGTTGTAATCCTCATAGCTTCTACAGCTTCTCTACTTTGCAAGCATGCATTATGAGGGGCAGGAACATGACTACAGGAGTACTTGTAGTTTAGCCAGGATCTGCATTTGCGAAACTAAGAAAAAGAAATCTAGCCCTGTTCCAACAAAATCTTCTGCACACGACACTTTCAGTTTTAAACCTCCAGACTTAGTCCTTGTGCTGTTATCTACCTTCTTCTTCTGGTACCACTTCCAAAACTTGACAAAATTTCCAGATGTTGTGTTTTATAGTCTATTTTAGTGGAGTTGGAAGATGTACGTAGTGAAGTTGGAAGATATTTAAATATATAATTCTGGGCAGAAATAAGTGAGTGTATCTGAAAAGTAGGAACTTTAGGTGGCATAAAGTTGGTCAAAACCAATCTATAAAGGGTTATAAGCAGTGGATTCATGATCCAGTGCTGTAGTATTGTTATGCATGTTACTGTTCTGATAGAAAAATATAAAACCCCCTCTAATTAACCAAAATTAGTATTATAAATAATTTTTATTAGTATTTATTGAAGTCAGATGATAAATCCTTATGGAAGAAAAGCCTGGAAGCTATGATGCTGCACTGAAGGTTTACTTCATTGACTTGCAAAAGTTTGTAACTACTCTAAAAATATATGTAACCAAAAGAGTATGTATAATAACTTAAAAACAGATTAAAAAAGATAGTACTGTGGATTTGCAGTGTTGTTTTTGAGTTTACATATATTCAGTCACTGTGGGAAGATTCTGTAGTTTGTGCCGTTACTTTTGCTATGTTAAAATACTTAAACTCTATTTGCATAACCAAACTAAAACTCTATTTGCATGTATTTTTAAGCAGGTGTGAGGTCTTCCTGCAGAGCAAATAGGCAGGTTTATAACGACAAAGATTACTCCCAAACCTTCTTTCAACCATTAGCTTTCCAAGTAACTAATCATCCCCCCAAAATCCCAAATCCTAAGAAAGTGAAAAGACTGGTGCATTACTTAAAAATAGAGCCCTAAGATGACAATTAGCAGTTCAATTTTTGTGTTTGTTGCCAGACTCTGTGGAAGTTACTTGTTCTCTCTTGTACCTCAGTTTTTCCAGTTGAATGTTGTAATAATTTCAATAATACCTGTATCACATCTTACATTTCTACCAACTGGAAATATATTTAGATTTAAATAGTAGTTTGCTGTAAACCTCTTGCAGTCTTCCTTTTTCCAGATTGCTGTTACTGGATTCTTTATATTTTTCTCTATTAAAAAAACCTGTTTCTGCAGTAGTATAGTAATACTTCTTGAAACAGATGGAAGTTGCTCCATGAGTAAATTTGGTAGGTGTTTTAGAAATTTTGTACAGTAAAAAAAAAAAAAAATTATCTTTCCCATTTAGAAGAGAAAGCTATTAATAATATAATGAAAATAATGAGTAGCGCAGTGAATAAAAAATAGGGAGAATCTAGTAGGCTGAGAACTGTTGGAGAACATCTTGTTTTATTAACTGGTAAGTAAGTCAATACTTTTTCCTTAACTCATAAGGAATCAGGAATAACAGAGGAACAGATCACATTGTGGGAACCTATGGCTTCTTTTCTAAAGGCTAGCTTGACAAAGTGATTTAACATAATTGTATACTGTTTCAGTATTTGTCCTTGAGATCTGTTATAACACTGTGTATGTTATAAATAAATAAAATGCACGCTGGTCATGATAAAAGTGGAAAGATTCATGTGGATTTCTGTAGTAGTCAGGTGTCTGGAAATACTGAATGTCAATATACAATGAAGTGAATTTTAATTTTACAGTTTCTTCATCATGCTCACTCTCTTACACCTCACCCACCTCTGCCAACAGTCAAGAATCAAGATGCCAGCATACCATTAAAACTGAAACAGCTGGACCGCCTTCACCTGTTGATTGGCCAGCAGCTGTTGGACCCTCCACTTCTCAGGTCCCGACCCCCTTTGTTGGATACCCCTCATCTGGACACTTGTCCCCTTTTTCTCTCTCCCCACCCACTGGACATTCCTTCCCCATTGGGGTCCTTCCTGATGGCTCTTTCCTTCTTGGGCCTTCTTCTCATCAACTGTCAAAGATGGATGTTCTTATTTCTGAAGTGAGGGAACTAAAAGAGGAAGTAGTTAATGTGGTGCAGGAGTTGAGAACAGTAACAGATCACCTTGGCTTTTTGGTGGCCTGTGTGGGACAGAGTTCAGGAATTTTTCCAGCTCCCAGTGTTTCTTCTGAAGGGTAATGCTTTAGAAACTCATAGTCTCCATCTAACAGATGAATTCTTCTTGCAAAGTTTTACCTTGACGAACGTCTGTTAAATGCGTTTCTGTGTTTTTGACTCAGTCTGAGTTCTCAAAATCCTTGTATGTCAAAGCATGTTTTAAAGCAATATATGTCTTGTTAGTAACTTCTGTTACATCTGCCTTTGTATTTTCTAATATTTCAAAATACTCTTCAGTCAATGTATACACATATACACACACATATATATATACACATATATCCATGCATACCTTATGGATCTATTTGAATTTTCTAACTAGTATAATGTGTGCACAGTAGTCAAATACTGCCACTTGGTAAGAATTTTTAACTTAATATTCATAAATTAAGGGGTACTTTTTATCAAGAATAAATTTTCAGAGTGTATTTCCAGAAATAATTCTTAGTCATGGCTTCTCTTAGCCCCTTGGCTACTAAAAGTGGCATCAAACAATAACAAACAATAGCATTAGAAAGGAAGAGCTGCCTAAAAGGCTGGAAGTTGAGTTCTCCTCTTTCTTCCTGTTTGCAGAACAAGCCATTGACAGTGTTCAATGAATGGGCATCATGCCTGCTCGTGAAAAATTGGCAGTTCTACCATGATAGTTAAATTTAAAATCAATAGTGAATTGGTTTACTTTTTGTTTCCATAGTGGCAATTTTACAAGAAAAACTCCTAGCACATAAAATAAGTTAAAGATTATTTCCATCAAGATTAAAATTGCTTTCTTATCTTTAGAAGTGGAAAGGCACTAGGTATAGAAAAATAGGGGAAGGAGCTTTCAAATGCTTATTTAATTAAAAAGGTAGAGAAAGAAGAAAAAAATTCATGAACATTATTAAAAACATTATCTTAAGTTGCTTGTACATCAAAATAATTTACATCCTCCATTACTGGGTGAGAATGATGTTACGTTCATATTGACTCAAAAAATAAAGCAACAGAGATTATATCTGATTTTCTGTGTTTAGAATAGCTTTAGACCAATTTTCAACTTGTTCATGATTATCTTCAAATATTCAGAGTAGCAGAAGAGGAAGTTTCTACTCTGGGCAGAGCAGACTTGTCCTTCAGCCCATGTACACTTCAGTTTCTGAATGAATGAAGAGTAATAAAATGTTTAGAAATAGAGACAGAAAGACAAATACAGTAGGAGATGCAGCAAGAAGCATTCAAAAAGGTTTGCTTTTTTGCGTTCCTGGAAATGGCTGTTATTTTCTCAATAAAGTAACTGTAAAAAAATCTCATTATAGGTTCTTTGTCTTTTATTTTGACTCGTATATTGTGGCAAGGCTTATTACTTAATGTTTTCCATGTGTGATTAGTGACTTGAATACACTAAGGGCTAGCATATGCCTCTCTTATGTACCTCAGTGAAAGATGTAAGTGCAAATGGATATTTGTCTTGTATGCATAGCACTTATTCTGTGGTGAGCTATATACTAGGCAACATCCTGTTACCTTGACAGTGATGCAAAATGTCTTATGATTGAAATCGGTGGTAAAATGCATGTCTTAATTCAAGATTTGGCTCAGGAGCTATTACACGTAATTGTCCTATTCCAGTGTTCCTAAATAAGAGATTTCGTTAGTATAATTGAAACTGATCAGCATCTATTAGAAATTGTAAGATAAGTATCATTCTATATGACCTGACCTATGTGGTGCAGAATATCATCAGTTCCAAAAGTATAGGTATATAGTACATCATGCATCATAGATGCCTGCTCTGACATTTTTCCCCAGTACATCTGTGGTACATCCATGAGATGGAAAAAATAAATTTAGCCCACATACTGTATTTTTTTTTAGGCACCTGTCCTTTTTGTCTTCATTGATAGATTCTTTGTTTCTGTGCTGTATATATAGATACATTTGAAAAGGTTCTTAATTACTCTTTTTCACTGTGTTCATATGAACTGTATCAAGCTTGGTCAGAGTAGTATATTTCAGTGTGAGTTAATGATTTTATCTCAGTTCAAAACCATTCCCTAGATGGATCTACAATTAATATAGAACATCTATTAAACCATCCTAAACTGTTACCAGTAGAGACTATAATAGTAATAAAAAGGAGATGCCATAACCTAAATGCTTCTAAATCAACAACTTCCCTTCATTTATTTTTCTCTCAAATGCCTCTTTTAATCTTACTGCATTAGAAACTGGGAATACTTTTCTGACTTTTGCAGTTAAGGTTGCAATATTGATTTCATTTTCTGGCCAAGGTCTTTGGATTCTCAGCATTAATGAGGTGTTATAGCTGGGCATTTTTCCTTGTGTTTGGATGACCTTCTGTAGGATAATCTAATAAATGACTGAAATGTACTTAAAGTCTTTATAATTTGCTTGGCTTTTAATTAGATTTTCTCACAGTCTCCCAAAATGCTCACAGCTGTCTACTGGAATCACATCTCTTAACAATGATTCATAGATAACGAAATGGCCCAGTCTGTTTCTGAAGTGTAAAGTTAAATAAAAAGGTAGTCGAGTACCTAAAGTACACTGTAGCTGCTTAAGGGTTATTTATAACAGTTCAGAGTACCTGGGGGCCTCATACGTTTTTTTTAATGGCAGTATATATGTTTGTTGTAGTACATTCTTTGTAGCAGCAATACTGTGGTTTTGGTCTCATACTTTTTATCTCTGTTTCTTAAGGCAGCCTTATTACTTGGAGTGCCTGTTCCATGTTTAAAAGGTAGCTACCCCAATGAGCTCTGAGTTACTCCTAAGTACTTCCCATATGACATCTGATGGGCTGTGCAGGTACAGAGGTGCTTAGATAAACTGATTCTCAAGTTGTGGGAAGAAGGGAGGGAGGAGAGGCTGAATAGGAGAAACCTGTCACTCTTCCTGCTGGCCCCCTGGGTCACTGCAGGGCTGATGGAGACATTCTCACCTCCCTCCAGCAGCAACAGTCCACCTCTCCATGGCCTCTGTGTGGTGGCACCTGTGTCTTGGGCATCTCCCACCTGGACAGTGCTTCTGGTATGAAGCACGTCAGGTTAGGAAGGCTGGACAGCTTTATGCCATCTCATGCCGATTATGAACCTTTCCTGGGAGACTTATTGTTACTTTCTCGTGGGGAGTGGCAAGGTGGGTTTGAAGGATGAGAATGAAGAGTTGCTGCTGCCCACTATTCTTGCAGAATAACATGCCATAGTTTCAGCCTAATCTTAATGGGAATAGATGTAAATTTAAATAGGAATAATCTCTTCAGTAGGTGGTTACTACATGTCATATGACACTGTCAAACAACTGTTATGGGATTAGGGGTGTATGTCCTGTTTTACAGTTAAATGTTTTTTGAAATTACTTTAGGATATGGTTAGTTTTGCTATGTACATATTCAATATTAATGCTCCAATCTGACCATCATATCTTTCCTCTTCTCCTGTTTTATAAACTGCTTTTTGTTAAAACTGAAAAATTTTAAAAAAAGAGTTCTCAATTACCCTAACTTAAATAACCATGCATTAGAATTATACTTTTCAAAAGCTAGTGTATATAATTTTAACAGAAACTGTACGAGTTGTTTTGCTTTCTGATGATAAGAAGAAGGATAATCAGTAATGCAATGAAGAAATTCTGTTGTACAACTTTTTACAGTTAGTCACAGAGAGCAACAAAAAGCATCCTAGAACTTGTTTGTACAGACTTGCCTGGATTTTACAACCCCCCACTTCATCTTCACCTCCAGTATGGTGGGAAATATAAAGGCAGGTAAATACAATCCCTCTATGTTTTGTCGAAATCACTTTCTGTTGAGGAAAAAAGCCAAACATCGAAGTTAACACCTCCCTCAGAATGTAGCTGTTGGCAGTAACATACAGTATTCTGGAAGTTTGCATGTGGGAAAGGATGAGAAGAACGACATGTTTACTCCATCTAAAGGGTTTCTGACTCTCACATTTCACTTTGAAAGTTCTTGCATCACTTTCTTCTCTTTTATATACTAATGGTTATGGAGCAATGCAAAAGAAAATAGTGAAATTTATTGGAAAAGATTAGCAGAGAATGATCAAGGAAATAAGTAAGCCGTTACTGTAATAAATTTACTCTTGTTCTGCTGAATTGTAAGGTAGTATTTTGCTCACCACCTTGCAGCACTGAAAATGGCATTGGGAGAAATTGTAATCTAGTTCCCCTGTTAGGATGTTCACTTTTGCTAGATGCAAAGCCTGATCTCTGCCTGATACTGAACAGAAATTCTAGCAAGATTTTCTCTATTCTAGGCATCAAGTATCTCAAACACCAGGCTGTTCAGGCACATCTTTCTCTCCTATATATTCACAAAAATATGCCACCATTTATTTTTTGTGAAGAAGATAAATGAATTAAAATGTTTTGATTTTCAGGATTGCTGGTTTTCCATCCAGCCAAGTCTTTAGGACAGATAGAGCAAAGCCTTTTTCTTACAAATGAGAGGTGTTGTGCTTTAGAGGCACACAGCTGTCAATGTTCAGTGTTAGGTGCCTTATTAAGACCTACAGCTGAGAAATACAGGATGCTTACATGGGTGAAGGAAATTGGACTGAACACATCTGAAAATTAGTTTGCTGGCTCTGCCTGTGCAGGGTGGCTCTGCTCATTCGTCACATGCAGAGGTGTAGAACAAAACTGTTTCTCCTGAGCACAGTGGTATTTGTCACAATTCATCATCATCATACAGCTATCCAATGTGAATTTAAAGTTTTACTTAAGTTTTCACATGTGCTTCACAGAAGCATACCCATCAGCTCTGTTAGAGGCAGTGGAAAGTGAGGCACAGAGGGATGTGATGTATGTAGTGTATCCTCCCACCAGGTTACACTAGGTTCTGTTTCTGGGAAAAGACCTGATTATTTAAAACTGTAACATGAAAAGATGCCTCTTACAGATTGCTGGTGGTGCTATGGCTCCATAGCTTTCCTGCTTTCACAGAGGTTATATATACAGTAAGCTGAATGTTGTTTTATCTTGGAGGTGAGGCTACACTAGTGACTTGTGAATGAATCTTTACAGATTGTTGTCTGCAGCAGCACACCTTGTAAAGATAAACTTGTTAAACTAAGTAATAAAAAACATACTAATAAGAAGAGGTAAATAACTGCATTAAAAGATTTAATATGTGTCTATAATTTCTTCTTACTCTGCTCATAAGCATGTCTCATGAGCAAGGAAGAGAAGCTGCCATGTTACGGTGGTGAGGAGGAAAGCAGATCAGGTGTCCAGAAGCAGGCAGGTGGATGTTTGAACTTGCCCTGGATCACTGCTCGATTCTAGCCAAGTTCTGCTAACAGGTGGCTTGCTGAGTGGTGTGCCAAGGTGACATTCATCCAGGGAGCTGCCTGGATGACAAGCTGCTTCAGGCTGAAGAAGAGGGTCTTTGCTTTGATAAGGAAATTGCCAAAACTCGTGTCTCATTAGTGTTTCCTAAGGTTCTTTGAAAGTGAACAACAGTTTAATTAAAGGCTGATGTAAACACATTTCTGCACACTTTCCCTGCAGCATTTTATCACATTAGAATTGATCAAAATTGTTGCCTTGGGCTGTCTTAAACAGCTATACATCTGGAGCACCATTTGTGCAAGCTGCTGATGAACAGGTTACATGCGCTATGCTTCACAGCAGCTCTTCTATCTTGCTATGTAGGCAGATGATCTAACTCTTTTTATTTGCATAAACCCTTTTTTCTTTTATGTGATGCTTTAAAATGTATATCATGCCACCTGTTTGGGTGCATGCATACTGTATCTGCACAGTAATATGAGAATACAGATACAGGCAAGAGTGTTCTGGAGCAGCACTGTGAATTTAAAGAAAAAACAAAGCCTTTTCCCACATTT